TATCTCTCTCATGAAGAAATCAAATGTCCAGAATCAGATAATTTCCGTAGTGAAGAGATTTTTGTGCCTCCTGTTTGAGCAGTATGACTTAGCTAATTGATCCTATCAAACATTGATCCCAAGCATTTTGTTTTATTTAGAAAGTGTATAAATAATATATATGATCTCTACAGGAAGGTGACGAGTCCTCTTTTGAAAGTTTCAGTGAATTTGTCTTCCATGGAGGATCAAGGAGCAAACTGGAAGCAGTTTTTTAAAAAAAGAAGTGAAAAATGGGGACTGGAAGAAGAAAATAGAGAGTAAAAAAATATGATAAGAAAGAGACACACAAGCAGCAGGATGAAAAATAAATAAAATTGGAAAATGAAAATGGACAACAGAAAGCACTTTTAAATTTAAAAAAAAACCCTCCCATCATTTAAAGACAGAATCTTGTCTGATCTCAGGATTCAAAACAGAATGACATTGGCAGATTTTAGCTAGCTCTTCTTTTCATATGCAGAAGCAGGTTATATTTTAAACAATTTTATTCCCCCTCATGGTAAAGTACTGTAAGTGCAGACACTTCAGCTGGGACTCGAATGCTGGCAGAGTCAGGGTTTGATCCCTCCCCCCCCCCCATGGTGCAAAACAGATTCATCCCCTTTTTACATTTTTAATTTATACTATTAAATAACATTTAAAAACAAGTTGGTAATTGCATTTCAGTTAAAGAAACAAAGTCTCATGCCAAAATATTTACATGTCTGAAAATGAAAACTTGTATCATAGTCATGTTTACAAAATGTAGCAAGATCTTGTGAAACAAACAAAACAATTGGACATTACAGTATTTTATTTCACATTGCTCACAGAACAAAATGCAGTATAAACTCTCTGACATTTTTAAATACATAGTTTGTTTGATCAAGACACTCCAACATAAAATTAAATGTGCTTCACAATTTCTTAAATATTTCAGATCACTATACCTCAGACATGTCAAACTCGCAACGTCACATGACGTTGCGCAACATGTCGGAACTTTTTCCCCATTGCGAGCAATGGGGTGGGAGCGCAGCTTTTTGTGATGCATCCGCCCCACGGGTCGGCAGTTTGACACCCCTGCTATATCTGGTTAAATCTTTTTTTACAAAACAAACCATATATTTTTTTCTCAACATTTATTGTTTTTGACTAGTTGTATGAGATCATTTTCTGTCTGTGCCTTTTTCTAAAGTTAGTTTTAGAGAAGGTAAACAATTGTCAACTTAGCAAAGGGCCAACACGATGGACCATTAGGTCTTTTTTTGCTCTCAGTTTTCTATGTTTCTAAAATAATAACTATGGCAATAATATATATATTATAACTACTTCTAATAATATGAGTATGTTTCCTAACAGAAACAGCATTAAGAAACTTGCGCTAAAAAAAGAGGCAACATTTTTGGTTTTGAAAATCATGAGGGTTACAGCAATGAAAGAGTGGTTGAAACTTTTCATTCTCATACAACCTGTGAAAATGATTTTTTCCGTGTACTTAAATAGGATGAATAATCTTTGTAAAATAGTAAACACCCTCACTAAAAATTATCATAAACTAAGAAGTTAGAATATTTTTGATGCAATTTATTTCATTTCATTTTTATCTTTATCTTGTTTCTTCCCTCATTGTGGACAGTATTTAATTAGGTAACATAAGAAATTGCATTGAAATAAAATGAAAAACAGTTTTAATAGATTGTCTTCTCCTTAAACTACGGGAGTCAAACTTGCCACGTCATGTGACGTGTCACGACGTATCACGAGTCTAGCTGTGCTCTCCTTAATGGAGGGCTCCCAGAGTGGGAGGCTCAGAACTAATGCTGCTCTTTGCTTCTGATCCCTGACATTATGAGGACAACAACAACAACAATAATAATAATGTTGAAAGGGACCAAACACCTGTTCAAGTAGGAAACCCTATTCCATTTCAGACAAATGGCTGTCCAGTCTCTTCTTAAAAACTTCCAGTGTTGGAGCATTCACTGCTTCTGGAGGCAGGTTGTTCCACTGGTTAATTGTTCTGTCAGGAAGTTTGTCCTTAGTTCTAGGTTGCTTCTCTCCTTGATTAGTTTCCATCCATTGCTTCTTGCCTTGCCTTCAGGTGCTTTGGAGGACAGCTTGACTTCCTCTTCTTTGTGGCAGCCCCTGAGATATTGAAACACTGCTATCATGTCCCCCTTCGTCCTTCTCTTCATTAAACTAGATATATCCAATTCCAGCAACCATTCCTTATATGCTTTAGCCTCCAGTCCCCTAATCATCTTTGTTGCTCTTGTCTGTACTCTTTCTAGAGTCTCAACATCTTTTTTACATTGTGGTGACCAAAACTGGATGTAGTATTCCAAGTGTGGCCTTACAAAGGCATTGTAAAGTGGTATTAATACTTCACGTGATCTTGATTCTATCCCTCTGTTAATGCAGCCTAGCACTGTGTTGGCCTTTTTGACAGCTGCAGCACACTGCTGGTTCATTTAAGTGATTGTCCACTAGGACTCCGAAGTACCTCTCACAGTTATTACTATTGAGCAAGGTACCCCCTATACTATACCTGTACATTTGGTTTTTCTTGCCTAAATGTAGAACTTTACTTTTTTCATCACTGAGTTTCATTTTGTTAGATAGTGCCCAATGTTCAAGTCTGCCCAGATCCTCCTGTATCTTAAGCCTGTCTTCTGGAGTGTTGGCTATTCCTGCCAGCTTGGTGTCATCTGCAAATTTGATGAGTTCCCCATCTATTCCTCATCCAAATTGTTGATGGAGATGTTGAAGCGCACTGGGCCCAGAACAGAGCCCTGGGGCACCCTGCTACACACACAATATAGAGCCGCTGATACTAATTTTGCTTCCAAACATCCATTTTCAACTCATAGATGTGTGTTAATTTTGCTCTGTAGCATCATGGATGGGCAGACACAGCTATGCATTTAGGTAATTTACTAAAAGAGATTCCTTCACATTTAGTCTCAAAAGAGCCCTTGATTCATCAACCCTAATTCACACTTTGGAAAATCTCTCTTTCTCCTCTTGTTTCTTTTAATCTATTCTTAGAATGCAAATTTAAATCAATTTAATAGTTTCTAACTCAGTGGTTCTCAACCTTCCTAATGCCGCTACCCTTTAATACAGTTCCTCATGTTGTGGTGACCCCCAACCATAAAATTATTTTCATTGCTACTTCATAACTGTAATTTTGCTACTGTTATGAATCGTAATATAAATATCTGATATGCAGGATGTATTTTCATTGTTACAAATTGAACATAATTAAAGCATTATATGTAATTATATATTGTGAAATATTTATTTCTAATTACAAATAAATGAAATTTTGTCTTGAAGCATGGTGTAGCATGGGTAACAGTCTTAATATAACAACAGTAAACTACATTGCTACATTTTGCGACAGTATGTGTAAAAAGCCAACATCAGTGCGAAGGTTGAGATTGCTTATTTCTCACCAGATCAGAAATTCTCAGGGCAGTCTTTGCAAGAGCACAACGAAAATGGCATGAATGAGAAGTATACAAATCCGTATACTAAGTTAGAATATCAGCAAATAGCCCGAGCCTGCAAAGATGAAGTGAGGAAAGCTAAGGCTCAAAATGAACTAAGCAGGCTTGCGACCAAAGTCAAAAATAACAAAAAAAGCTTCTTTCAACATGTAAAAAACAAGAAAAAGGTGAAGGAAATAATTGGTCCATTAATGCAGGGCTTTTCAACCTTTTCACCGATAGTACCACTTTTAGAATATGGCAACATTCGAGTACTACCAGTCACCTAGCAAGGTGGTAAAAACTTGATCACAAAAAAGAAAGGAAAAAAGTGATAAAATATAGGTAGTCCTTGACTTATAACAATTTGCTGTTTAAAGTTACAACAGCACTGAAAAAGTGACTTATGACCATTTTTCACACTTATGACCATTGCAGCATCCCTAGGGTCATGTGATTTACATTTCGATGCTTGGCAACTGATTCATATTTATGATGGTCACATTGTTCCAGGGTCATGTGATTGCCTTTTGCAACCTTCTGATAAGCAACGTTAATGGGGGAAACCAGATTCACTTAACAACCATGTTACTAATTTAATCTCTCCCTCTCTCCCTCTCTCTCTCTGTCTCCCTCTTTCTTTCTCTCTCTTTCTCTCTCCCTCTCTCCCCCTATTTCTCTCCCTCTTTCTTTCTCTCTGCCTCTCTCTCCCCCTCTTTCTCTCTCCCTCCCTCTCCCTTTCTTTCTCTCTCCCTCTCTTTCTCCCTTTTTCTCTCCTTCTCTTTCTCCCTTGTTCTCTCCTTCTCTCTCCCTCCCTCTCTCTACCTTTCTCTCCCTCTCTCTCTTCCTCTATTTCTCTTCTTCCCTCTCTCCCTTTCTTTCTCTCTCTCTTTCTTTCTTTCTCTCCCCCCTCTCTCTCCCTCTCTTTCTCTCCCTCTGTCTCCCTTTCTTTCTCTCTCCCTTTCTCTCCCTGTCACTCTCTCTTTCTCTCTCTTTCTTTCACTCCCTCTCTTTATTTCTCTTTCCCTCTTTCTTTCCCTCTCTCTATTTCTCTTTCCCTCTCTTCCTCTCAAAGATCCTTAAAATCCTTAAAGGTTATGCTTGGGTGGAAGACTTTTTCTTTTACAGATGGGGTGGGTTGGCAGATAAGTACTCAAAAAAAAAAAAAGGAAAAAAAGTGCGAATAGGTGTCCAGTAGCTAGCTTGAAGTTTGAAAGACTTCTTTCTCTTGCTACCGGCTTCTAGGAGGAACAAAAGACATCCAGCACTGCAACCCTGGCCATTCCAGGACTGCCTGCACCGGCAATTGGGGACCATGCCAGCGGTTCTGTGCCATGGAGGCTTGAGGCACGGGACGCAGAATGGCGCGGTGCCGTGGGAGGTGGCAGGACAGGGGGGAGGGGTTACCTGCATACTACCGGCCGAACTCTGGAAGCCTGCCTGAATGAAGAATTTTAGGGGGAGTTGAAAGTGAGACAGGTTCCTAAGACCATCGGAAATATGTGTTTTCCAATGATCTTAGGAGACTCCTGTGAAAGGGTCGTTTGACCCCCAAAGGGGTCGCGACCCACAGGTTGAGAACTGCTGTTCTAACTCCTAGTGGTACAAGAAAGTGATAGGAGGGAATTATCTTTTCTGAATTTAAGAACAATGCAATATTCATACTTTGCAAACAGAAGATCCAATTCATTTCCCAGTATATTCAATTTTAAAAAGATCAGGTAGCAACAACATGAATTTAATATAGTCTGGATTTATAAGTGCATATTTCAAAAATATGGTGAATTTTGAAATAGAAATTAAAAATATCCTAGAATTTAGTGACAGTCAAAATATTCATATTCAATTCCAATATTTTTTCTTCTTTCTGAATTATTTGGGGGAGGGAGGGAGAAAGACCTTCTACTATCCTAAAAATCAGAACAGTTTATCCCATTAGTTCAAGCAGAGCATATACTTTGCAAGAAAAGAATTCAGATTTCAGAGCTGCCACCCTATTTTTTATTCCTATTATTTAAATCTTTCAAGTTATTTTTGCTGTGTTAAGTTCAGTCTCCAATTAAAAGAGAGCAAAATAAATAAAGACTTCTGCCTTGGGGAATGATGTCAGTGAGAACACACTATATTAAGCAGTGATACCAGCTGAGTTTAAATCACCATACAATAACTAATATTTCTTTGCTTCTTAGTTTCTAAATTTATTTATTTTTAGATAATTTTTAATCTAAATTTATCTATTTTTTTAATCCCATCTTTTATTATTTTTATAAGTAATTCAAGACAGCGAGCATATATAATACTTCTTCTATACTGAGAGAGAGATCATGAATTTGAAGTTAATTACCAAGAGTGTACTTATGATACTCAGTTGTATTTCTCCCTTCCCTGGATATCTCAAAATCCTTTGCTTGTCTCCTGGTTATAAAGAACTGAATATAAGAGAACAAATTGAAACTAAATCTGGATAAAACAGAATTGTCAATTCCAGAGGCTGACTTTAGATTTTGAAAATATCCCTTTATTGAATAAGGTTGCATTTCCTCTTCACATTTGGGGATCTGCCTTTAATGCTGAATAGATAAATTACATCAGGGAAAGGGAGCATTTCAGCATTGATTGATAAAAAATTGTATCCTTTGCTAGAAGTAAGAAACCTGGCATTGATTAGGCACATTCAAATAATTTTCTTGATGCATTATTGCAGTTCAGTGTTCATAGAACAAAACTTTTATACGTCTTAGAATGGAGCACAGGAATGGTAGCTGCAGGTGCTTCCAGAGGATACCATATCACAACTGTTTCAAATTGCGGCACGACTTGCCATTTCCTTTCTGGTCTCAATTCAAGGTACTCATTGTCCTATATAATACCTTATTGGTGGTTCTCAGCCTGTGGTCTGCGGACTCCTGGAGGAGCATGATGTCACAGGGGGTTGTCAAAGGGTTGAAGAAATGTGGACACAAAGGGGTATTTAAAGGCAGTGAAGAAAAAATTTGAGAACCATTGCTTTACATAGTTTGGGCTCAGGTTTGATGCAGGTCCACCTGCATCCATTCAGTGGCACATGTCTTGCAGATCCTGCATAATATCAGCAACTAATTCTGAAGATGAATTCAGATTATGTAATAATTTGTCACTGAAGCTGAAACTCCTCTTTTATATTACAGTTTAGAAGAGGGCTTAAATCTTTTTTTAATACAGGTCTTCTAAAACTTTTCACAATTTTAGAGTTTTTAATTGGGATTTAACAATTTTATTTGTCATGAATATTTGTGGGCTGAGCAAATATTGGGACTGGACAGCATATACAAATTTAAAATAAAGAGAAAACAGAACAGCCTACCATTGTAGTAATATCATAGTACATGTGAACAAATAATGATACTAAAATAAGCTCCTGGTAAGTCAGGTGATTAAGAATGTTTTTCAGCATTCTGTTGATGAAAGTTGTCTATTTTAAAATCTTAGGTGTCAGTAAGAACAACTGACCCGTCATGAGTACATTTTTGGCTATCATTTGATAATCATGTTACTTAATTCAGCCAGACTGGAACTTGTGACTAGGTAGTGTAAAGCTTCTTATCCCATTGCTCATAGGTACGGATTTGTTTAGTCTTCTTCTTTTTGACATGGGTTTCATATGATGTGCTTATTTATGGAGACAATCCATATATTATATTAGAATAAAATCTTTTTTTTAAAAAAAGACCCCGTGGCGGTATATTCCAGCTTTGTTTAACAAGTCCTACTAAATCCTTAGGAGAGAATTAAGCACGGGCACTTAACCCTTACTGTTTATGTGAATGAGATGGCTGAATCAAACTTACTGTGGTTGGATAATTGATTCAGTCAATACATCAGTTGGGGACAGCTGAGTTATACTTAATCATTTATATTAATATTGTTCCATACAACTTAACAGGAATGTGTGAGAGAGATCTTTTTGTGAGATTAGGCTTTGGAATATAAAACCAAATGAAGTTATTCTTTAAGGATAAATGTTGGGCCAAATAATCACATTACCATTTGTATATGTGTCTGGAATAGGGAACTAGAAACAAAGGAATCCCCTTATCCAATGTTCAGTCAAACCTCCATTAGTAAGGCAGAAATAAAAAGGCTTTTTTTGTCTTCACTTTAAAAAATTCTTAAGAATACTATTCTAGTGGGCATTGCTTTTCAATTGGGTTGAGGAAAGTTTATGAAAACTAGAGTTCCAATTCTTTCTTTGAAACCCCCAATGGGATACCTCTTTTCACAGCAGCTGGAATAGATTGTCTAGGTCTGATTTCCTGCCCTTAGATGACAGGATTAAAACGATGAGGAGAGGGTCAGGATTATGGGGCATATTCTCAGGGATCATAGAGAGTGCACAGATGAACTACCCATGGCATGGCATTTGGCAGAGTTGCTCTTTCCTGCATCACTAAAATATTGTACCATAATAAGCCCTTCATAAAATGGGATAAACTAATGCTATAACTTGTCCGTCCATCAGTGAAAAGTCTCCACCACATTTTCTTTCAAGCCTCCTAGGGAATTCTCTGGGATTTCAGTACCTTTTTTCTGGATAGGTAAGCATAATTACAAATAAAGTATAAGGTTACAGCATCCTATTTTCATTTTTGCCCTGGAACTTTATCATTTAAGCTTCTAACTGGCAGAAAATATCTTTAAGCAATGTTAGATTGTGTCAGAATATTTTCATTTCTAATCTCCAGCTCTCGTATACTTAAGTTTATCTAGCAAAGGTGCACTAAGAATGATTCTGTATAGATTAATTTTCTATTTTCTCTCCATTTATGACACAGAATGACAATTTAAATAGTGGAAGCTAATTGAAGATTGACAGTGATATAATTTTTTGAATTTCCATGTAGTCTCTCTCTGCAATATGCAGTTCTTAAATCATTTGCTAATTGGGGGCATCATTTATTTGCTGCAGACTAATTGTTATTAATCTTATTAAAATTCACCATGGAAATAAGTAACTGGGGAAAAAAGACCTGCTTTTAGCGTCAAGTTCCAAAGAATGAGCTATAGATTCCTAATTTGTATCACTAGATTTGTTAGCTGTTATCAGGTGGATTAATGTTATATTAGTTCTATTCTTTACCAGATTGTAAAAAAAAAAAAAAACCTAGCACTTATAACTAGGGAAAAGTAACAGATTTGCAAGAAAAAAAATTTAAATCATCCCCTAGCAATTGAATCTGAGTGCTTGTAATAATGCCCTATATATAAATATGTATGTCAGTATTATTATATATATGTAAAAGAGCTTTTAATGCATGTTGTTTCACCCACTAATTCCACTTTTCAAAACTCTGCTGTAATTCATGTTGACAAGTGACATGTGATGCCGGTTGATGGGTCTCAAAGACTCATCTCCTGTTTCAGTCCTTCCAAAGTCTGCCTAATCTATGACATATATGGTCTAGGGAGATATGTGTCTGCTTTTTCCTGTCATCACGTCTCTGATTGGAGGATTTTTAGGTCCAAAATATCTCAAGGAGTCTTTAGGGTTATTGGTTGTGATCCAGATTTACTCTTCTCTCTCCCTTCCCCTCCTTTCTTTTTTTCCCACTTGGAACTTTTCTACCCAAGGGATTTCTCTTGTTATGCTGGAGACTGATTCTGTGGCTGCTTAGCTGCAAAGTCCTTCTTCCGGATGTGTCATTTGGATACAGTATCTTCTATGCCCAATGCAAAAATCAGTTGGAAGAGTTGTTTTGTCTCTCTTTATGTTGCAACGTGGAAAGTAACCTAATGTTTTAAAAATGCCAGTCCGACGGACTCGGCATGGTCATCTGAAGGGAGTGAGTTGGGCCACTATCAGCTTGAGTGCGCACAGTAAGTATCAGTTTCTGTTCATTAAGAGCATGGCAAGTTACTCAAGGCCTTGCCAATATCATCTACTGGTGCATTAAATCTGAACGAAAGTGCTGCAGTTTGCAAGTGTGAAGGGTAGGGAGTAGCTTCTTTGCAAAACAAGGGCAACTAAAAGTATCTTGTAGGTTCAGACACCCTGTTCTCTGCAAAATAAATTTCACATTTTTCAGCTTTTCAGATGGTTTAAGTAACCCATATAGAATCATTGTATAGAATAATCATAATATTTATTGAGGAGAGGAACAAAAAATAGTAACTGTGTTGGATAATAATTGATTATACTTGATTCAGATTCTTCTTAGGCTATTATGTACATTCTATGGAAGACAATTTAGTGTTGGAGAATACAAGTTCAAAGAATTTAAAAAGGGAAAAGAATAGAAGAGGAAATAAAAATAGAAATGAAACGAAAAATGGAAAACAAAATAATGTTTCAGGCCTGGATATTTTGTTAGTTTTCAAATAAAATTCACAGAATTTTATTGTCATAATATATATAACATATAATGTATAATATAATATTTCTGTGAGTTATTTTTTAGTGTGCAGCCTGAAAAATAGAAGGATTTTTTTTTTTTTTTTTACTTTTTATTCACTGAGCTATATTACCCTATTTTTCTGCTACCCTAAACTTGCAAGAATGAAGAGTGGCACACAGAAGTTATTTCCACAGAGTTTATTTCTGGCCATTTGAGGTTAATTTGGGTTGTAAATTATCCCCAGTGCACCATTCTTTTCCCTGTAAGACTAACAAGAATAGCATGAAAGCATAAGGTCTGAAGCAAGCATGACAGAGCTTTTTCCCCTTGCCTTTTATAAACTTGCTTTGCATGCCTTGCTTTAAAATGAACAGTTTTTTCTTAACCTGGTAGTATGTTAATAACTGCTTTAACAATACAGAACTTTTCAGAAAAGTTATGCTGGGTGATAAACTTCATAAAGAGGGCCTGTCTGTTTTAATGATTCTCTAAGGTTTTATGACACATTGGCTTAGACTGTGAGGTTTTATTTTTCTTCTGGGACCATCATTCTCAGGTATTGAAACACAGTACCAGCAAAACAGAATGCATCGACATTGGAGAATGGAGCATATTATGGGTTATTGCAACCTTCTCTTTTCAATTACAAAAGATTGAAGAAGTTAGAAGTGAGGGAATTCACTGACACACCCACAGCACAATGGAAAAGCATATGCGTATAGGATATTTCATGTGTGTTAGAGGTTAATTCCAGCCTTCAGCCATGTTGACTGTCAATTAATGGGAGTTGCATTCCTACATGTCTAAAAGTACATGTAGGCCAAGGAAGGCTGATGTAGGCAGTCCCAAGGATGATTATATCTTGGCATGAAGCAGTTGGTCATATTCCATTCACTCTCATAGAATTAATGAAAATATGTACTATGTACATACTTATTTAAAAGAAAGCAGATTAACAAAACCTTAAAATTCTAAAGCTCTTTCTCTTCATGGGAAAAAAATCTCTTCTGGATTAATGTTTTAATTAACTTAATTTAAATTTAATTAATGGTGCATGTTATTTTTTCAGTCCTCAAATAAATACTGTTTTATAACTTATTTTAAATTATTATTATTATTTTTTTATTGAAAATTTTTAAAATTTTACAAAATAAGAAAAAACAACCCTCCCCAACCCACCCCAACCCTCCCACTCCCTCCCTCAACTTTCCCAGAGCTGAATATAGGCTTAATTAAATGTTCTTGAATTCTTAAAAAAAAAATATAAACCATAGATAAGTCTAAATACGTTACTTAAACTACTAATAGAATAATTAACAATAATATATATATATATAAAAGACATAAATATTAAAGAGAAAAAAAGAAAATACTTAAAAAGAAGAATAAAGAGAAAGAAAGAAGAAAAGAAATATAAGAAAGTAAAATAATAATAAAACATATAAAGAAAAAGAAAAAATAATACAATCTATAAGATATTAAAATTTGTATATAAATTATTGATAAACTAAGTAATAGTTTTATATCCAACTTATGTTGTATAAAATCTATCCATTTTTCCCATACCACAAAAAACTTCTCTTGCGATTGATCCTTTAAAAAAGCCGAAATCTTTGCCATTTCTGCCAGATAGAATACTTTAGAAAACCACTCTTGCAAAGTAGGCAAAGATTCCTTCTTCCAATATTGCCCTACTAACAACCTTGCGGCTATAATTAAATTTAACATCAATATAACCTCCTTAGTATCACAATCGGTAACAATACCTAGCAAAAACAATTGTGGGGTAAATTTTACCCTCCTTCTAAAAATTTTTTGAATATTCCACCATATCTTAATCCAAAAGGCTTTTATATTTTTGCACGACCACCAAATATGGTAATAAGTAGCATCCAAACAACCACATCTCCAACATTTGGGCTGTAAGTCGGGATACATACGAGACATTTTTTGTGGATCAAGATGCCATCTATAAAACATTTTATAAAAATTCTCCCTTAAGTTCTGGGCTTGTGTAAATTTAACATTTCTCACCCAGATGATTTCCCAGGTATCTAGTAGAACTGGTTCACCAAAATTTTGTGCCCATTTAATCATACATTCTTTAATTAATTCTGGTTCTGAGTCCAATTCTACTAGCAACCCATAAATTCTCTTAATATGAGTTCGTCTTTGATCTTTTACTTGTTTAACAAAATTTTCATCTTCTCTAAGCAAGCCCACATTACGATCTATCTTCCATCTGTCCGCTATTTGTCTGTACTGAAACCATGAATATATAATATTTTCTTGTGCTAAATCTTCCAAAGATTTTAACTGCCAAATTTTACCATCCCATCTAAGCAATTGTGCATAAGAAACACTATCCATCTTAACTCCTCTCCTTATCCCCTCTATCGCATGCCAAGGTATAGCCCATAATGGTATTTTAGAATCACTTCTGTAATATTTCCTCCAAACCCGAAGTAAAGAAATCCTTATAATATGGGATTTAAAAACCCGGTCAACTTTTTTATTAAAAATTAAATAGGCATGCCATCCAAAAAGTAAATCCCAACCCTCCAAGAGGAGTATTTCTACATTTGTTAAATTAACCCAATCACTAATTAATGTTAAGGCCACAGCATCATAATACAATTTCAAATTCAGTACCTTGAGTCCACCTCTCTCACGAATATCTTGTATAATTTTAAGCTTTACTCTTGGCTTTTTCCCTGCCCAGATAAATTTATTGATACCTTTCTGCCATTCATTTAAATTGACCTCATTCTTTAAGATAGGTATCATTTGAAATAAGAAAAGGAATTTAGGCAGGACATTCATTTTAATCGCCGCAATTCTTCCCAAAAGAGATAATTGCAACTTCTCCCAATTTTTCAAGTCTCTTTGTATCCTGACCCACAACCTTTCATAATTATTTTTATACAATTTTACATTAGAGACAGATAAAGTAACCCCCAGATATTTTACCTTATCAACAACCTCAAAATCTGTCAAATTAACCAAAGTCTGATTATCCATATTAGTCATATTTTTGGGTAAAATTTTAGTCTTATTGTTATTAATTTTAAAACCCGAAACCCGTCCATATTGATATATCAATTGTAATAACTCTATTACGGAGTGAGTAGGTTGGGACAGGGTAACTACCAAGTCATCTGCAAAAGCTCTTAGTTTATATTCTTTTTTGTTAACTTCTATTCCTTTTATTTGCTGTGATTCTCGAATTTTAATCAACAATATTTCCAAAGTTAAAACAAACAGCAAAGGTGACAATGGACATCCCTGTCTAGTCCCCTTTTCTATTATAAAAACCTCTGACAAACCCCCATTAACTATAAGTTGTGCCGTTTGTTTTTGATAAATAGCACCAAGAGCTTGTAAAAATTTTTCTCCAAAATTCATTTTCTCAATTAGTCTTAACATAAATTGCCAATTCAATTGGTCAAAAGCTTTCTCAGCATCTAGAAATATCAATCCTGCAGAGAATTGATTATTTTTATCTAGATATTCTAATAAGTTAATAATTTGTCTGACATTATTCTTCATATACCTTCCAGTTATAAAACCCGTTTGATCCTTATGTATAATCTGACACAAAACCCTCATAAGCCTATTAGCTAATATTTTTGCAAAAATCTTATAATCTACATTTAAAAGAGATATAGGTCTATAATTCTTTGGTAGAGTAAGATCTTGATCTTCTTTTGGAACTAAAGATATAAAGGCTCTGCCCCATGACGGGGGGATCTCTAAACCCTGTAATATATTATTAAAAAGCTGTCTTAAAGGTTGAATCATCTCTTGTACCAAAGTTTTATAATAAATAGATGTCAAACCATCCGTACCCGGTGCTTTACCTAATTTTAGTTCTTTAATCACTATCTCAATTTCCTCATTAGTAATTGGACTATTAATTTCTTGTTTCTGATCTTCTGTTAATTTAGGGAAGTTGGCTTCATTTAAGTAATTATCTATATCTGAAACCTGTATTTTAGTACTCTTACATAATTTATTTTAAATTATTGTTAGCATTACAAGAACTTTAAAATATTTTTTAAAAAACAAAGTAAGATAAACTCAAGAATTAGTGTTGTTATTTGCTATACATGTGTTTGTGTATTATCTCTATGAACTATATAATTAGTATTACTATTTCATAGATTAAAGTTTGTTTGGGACTATCCATCAAGTCTATGAATAACTTCACATGATCAGTAAAATAGTTCTGTCCATATCCTGAATTATTTTATCCCTTTTTAAATTTCTTTTGCCATGGAATAGGAGGGGGGGGACCACCCCTTTTTATCTGATGCTTTGCAGACCTTTGTCACTGAATATTATCAGAACTTCATGCAATATGTAAAGTTCCAGCATGAAAAGTAAGCAATCTCTTTGGTGCAATCAATTTAATTAAAACATCAGTTGTTTATGTATTTTATTAAACACTCAGGGTTGATTTTTTTTTCTGCCTCCTGCTCT